TATCACACATACTTTGTTGGTTTCTATAGGCGAAAACTAAAAGCTAAGATAACCTGTAAATGCGCGGATTGGCATAATTCATTGCTATAATAGTTTAGAACTGCAGTACTACCTTAAGTTAGTTGAGGTCACACATTGTATCAGTTAACCACTCTTTGATATCTTTCACATGAGCAAAGATAAATTGGCTTAAAATTGGAAGTTAGATTGGTACAATAAAACCAAAAAGTTGTATACTATTTTGGAAAGAAAAAAAAAGTGAAAATCAACTTACCGTAGCCCACGACCAAACATTGAAGATATAAAAGTTGTTAAAAACTATTAAAAACATATCCGCTGCGAGCAGGAATCGAACCTACGCGGGCAATGCCCATTGGATTTCAAGTCCAACTCCTTAACCACTCGGACATCGCAGCACGGCTTGATACGGCGCGAGAGGGCATAGATATGAGGAAGGGAACATCTGTTTTTGGCAAAAGCAAAGTAGAATAAACAAATTTTAATATAATATTTCAGAAACTAAAATACAATATATATTTCAGGCTCTCGCCTCCTGTATCCTCTTCTTCTTATCCCCAATCACTCCACTGTACGTTTACACCATTGGTCTTCCAGTTTTGTCAATTATCGCCGCTATTTTGTTCTTTTCAATTGCTAAAAGAACACAAACGATGGAGAGAAAAATGACAGAAGGGACGAGAAATGCGTTTGAGATTGGAAAGAAACTGAATTTATAATTTTTACATTCATTTTTCCTTCTTTCGGGTAATCTTGTTTCGAAAACATTAATTTGTTTATTGATCAGGTGTAAAACAAAAATTAGAGGGCAGGACATGAAAGACTCAGAAAAAATGCCCCTCACGAGGCCGATCTGAGTAGGGGAGGGGAAACGGGATAATTTAGATATTTGACACAGGAAAGATGTAACCGGTAGAAAAATAAAAATAGGGAGCAAATATATCAATAACGGGTAATACTGGAAGAAATTAAGGATTCAAACTCGGAAGGTAGGAGAAATCGGGTAACTTGGGAAGTGATGGCGTTCCACAGGGGAAAAATTGAAGAAAAATAGTCAGAGGAGTAGGGCTGAACAATAATTAAGTTCATAGGGCGACGAGGGGAGGAGGAGTATTTGACATGTGCATTTAGGTTAGGAAAGTAGGCGGAGCCATTTAAAAATTTATAGAGAAGAATTAGTTGAGCTTTTAGACTACGATGTCGAATGGAGAACATATTGAGGATAGAGAGACGATCAGAATAGGAACTGTACTGGATATTACAACGCTGGAAAATACACTTAGGCTGGAAAATACACTTAACATTAGAACAGGTGTGGAAGGGGGTTTTCTGAAGATTCGAGTAATTCTCCGTAGATAATGTTGATAAGGTTCATAAAACAAAAATATTGATACGATACTTGTAAGCGGTTGGATGATTTTCAGAAGCAAAATCTATGAAATATGCAAGTCCGTAGATTCTGATGTGAAAGAGAATGGACAGGTACATCAGGGTGAATGGGACAGCAGCAAATGTAACGTAGATCAGGGACTGGAATTCAGATTTTTTAGGAGTTGAACCCGAAGTTCAGCTGGTAGCAACGCAGTGCTTCTGTCAACTTTGAGTTCATATATCTCGGTTCTTGTGAAAGATATCAGAAAGTCGTCAACTAACGAAATGTTCATCATAATACCACACATATTTTGTTTGTTAATTTCATCTTGATATCTTCCTCAGGAACCGAGATAAATTGGATCAAAGTTAAGAGAGACTTTCTTTTAGAGCTTTCTAACCATTCAAGGTTTCTATAAACAAAAAGCTTAGCTAACCTGTAAATGCTCGGATTGGCTTAATTCATTGCTATATTAATTTAGAACTGCATTACTACCTTAGTTGAGGTCCTTTCTCATTAGATCACACACGAAAGCTACCGTAAACACTATAAAAGGAGGCACTGTCCACTTCGAGTCCCTACATCTCGTATCGTGTGAAAGATATCAACAAATGGTGGGTTCACAGGGTAACGGCTGCATATGGTATATGCCTAGGCGCGCATATAGGATGCTATGTGTGCCCATAATAATTCCGTGGGTAGCGCGTGCGAGCTATATGCGTCGGCGCTGGGCACGACTGGTCGCCGGTGGGCGCACTCATATAGCATTCATATAGCATGCACGATTTTCCCTTGAAAACGACAACCCACCAACGACACTCCGATATTACGCTAGTGCGCCTTGTTTAGCAAAATTTTTCATTGCCGATTTTGATCAATTTTTCGATCATATCGACCATGTTTCCTGTTATCAAAGAACTGTTTTCACATGTAAAAATTATGGCTAACGAAAATAAAACTTATTTTTAGTAAAGAAATAGGTAAAATTTTTTACAAAATCCGGTTTTTCTTGAAATTAGGACTTTTCTGTTTTACTTCGGAATAAACGGAATAATATATTTTTCAGGTGAAATACAGGTTGGTTGGTAAGTTTTCCGATTATTACGAAGTAAAAGTAGGAAAAAATCCGAGAAACACAAAATTATTTCGAAAACAAAATATAATATAATATATATTTATTTGCAATGCATGGGGGAAATCGATAGATAATTTGGCAAGAAATGGGACCTGTACAAATAAATAAGTAAAATGACCAGACGGACCGACTAGAGTCCTGTAGGTCAAGTGGGAGGGATCAGAATATCATAAGGAATCGCTCCTACTCGCTTAGCAAACGCCACCGGACTGAGCTTAGAATTTATCACCTTACATACACGGTTCCACATAGACAAGTTTCTGTGAAGGAAGCAGTCAAAGTATTGACCGTTGATTTTGAACAAATACGGGGCTCTGTTAGAATGGCTGGGAAGAATGTAGGACGACAAAGAGGGAAAATGGTATGAGTTTATAACAATTTTGTGATAGGTACGAAGAACTAGAAGGGTGCGGCGATGAAGGGTGGTTAGCATAGAGAACTGGGATAGGCGATCGGTGTATGAATTGAAGGGCATATTACATCTCTGAAAGACTTTTCTGGTGAAATAACGAAGAGGAGATTCTAGTTTATTGGCAAGTTTGGCATTGGATGGATCGAAAATTATTCGAATTAATGCCAATTTCAAGACTTTGTTGAATTTTTTTCAAGTTTTCTATATCGCAATTTTGAAGGAAAAATTTATCATGTTATATCATCCAGATATTTTTAACTTCCTGCCATAATTTTTCTTGCTGTGAGAAAATACTGTGAAAACTGGAAAAATGGTCACTCTGTGAAATCTGAAAGGGAAAATGAACGATATTGGAAGATCTGAACAAAATCACATCTTATGGTTCTTTGACTAAATATCTTATGCATTTTCCTTGTTTCTGACATGACATTTTTCGTTCGTCGTTCCAACATCTCGTAGGAAATATTCGCCGAAAAAATTATAGCCAGCCCAATGATCAACCAACTGGCGATTTCTATTTCAGCCGAGAAGTTTTCAGAGTCAACTTCAGGATTACTGGTAACTATTAAGTTTGGGTCTGGGAGACAGTCTGGATAGAATTGCTCATTCTGAAATGTCTCAAAACTTTTAAAGTGATTTTTAGAAAGAGAAATGGAAACTCACAACAATCATATATTCTTTAGCAAGTTGTTGGTCTTGTAGAATCTCGTTTAATGTTATCGGAAGAGATCATACACAAAAAATTAGCGCAAAAGTGTGTAGAAGCAGTTCCATGAGTTTTTGTAGGGCAGATTTGTGACGACGACGCATGTTAAGAATTATGAGGAGACGATTGAAAAACAGGAAAACAGAAGATATTGCAGATACTGAAAAAGCTTTGAAATTTCGGAAAATGATAACAACTTACCAGCCCACACTACACACAAAACCTGATAGAGCAGCACTGCATTCACAAAATATTGTAAGACTCCAGCTACTCTCAACGCTATTGACGGCTCAAAATCATACAAATCTATCAAAAACATTCCGCATACCCATTCCACAGTAACACAGAAAATATCAGTTTTATAATACAACATTTTAAGAAAAAAGACTCAACCTCAAGACATGAAAGTAAAGGAACCATTTCAATGACTCAAAATTTTTCGGAGACTTTTTCAGTACACAATAATGTGCCAATGGATATAAAACTGTGGCCAGGATAGAATAAGCGCGTTTGAAGATAAAATAAAAAGTTGGATTCTCATTCCAAATTGACATTGAAGTGGAGTTGTTAGTGGTCATTTGGCTTGGAACTTTGTGGGAAAATTTTTTTGATTTAAACCAAAAATGACTCAATTGTGGCAGGTGAGAATGGTCAGAATAACACACCATTTGTTGGGTAGAGAAAAAAACAATGAACAATAAAGAATTATTAAATTCTGGATAAAGGGAAATCAAGCGTTCGGAAATGGAGAACCGGAACTTCTGAATTAAAGGTGGGTGAAATGTAAAAATAATTTTTAATAGTTTCGTTCATATACCGTAAAACCTGTATAAGAAGGGCCCCTTTAATAGAAGGCCCCTCTAATAGAAAGGCCCTCCGATATTGGCTTGGAAAAATAAAAGGGCCCACCTGTAATAAAAGCGCCCCCGTAATAGAAGGGCCCTCTGTGAAAAAGAACCCTCTTCAAAAGTTTGGATTGAAATCAGAAAATTTCCGTACTTTTTCAGTGGAAAATATTCTGGAAACTCTACAATTTAGTAGAAACTTGTTGAAACTCTATTTTTCGATGAAAATCTTGCTAAATTTTGGTGAAATTGGCAGATTTTCATGAATTTTGAACGAAACTTCGTCGAATTTTTTGATACAAAATTTCGAAAAAAAAACTGGCCGGAAAAATAGAAGGGCCCCAATAGAAGGGCCCCAATAATAAAGGGGCCCACCGGAAGTACCTTGGAACAATAGAAGGGCCGGCCCTTCTAATACGGGTTTTACGGTATGTAAACCCCTCGAGAAATTCTAATTGTGGACCTGTCGTTGTAAGTGGCGCGTTGCTACCGGCTGAGCTACAGTGGCGCAAGCTGTGCGGCCCAAGCGGACCAATACCCACAATACTAACGACTGTACATCTATAATGCATACCGTAACTCCAAAAAAACTCATGTCTCCTTTTTTTTTAATACTTTCATACGAACGAAAATTCCCCATACCCTAAACACAGAATAACCATTTATCTTAAGCGATTTTATATTGATTCTTGGAAAAGTTATCAAAAAGTGGGTAACTGAAAAAAATGCTCAAAATAACATCGAAAGTACTTTGCCAGTTTGCCACTTTCTGATAATTCTCACAGGAACAGAGATACATTCGCTCAAAGTCGACTTAGGGGCAGATATTTGTGTACACCTGAAGGAGCGGTAGTTCAAATTTCTATGTCAGGATTTATTACGCACTACCATACACAATCCTGTCCCATCTCTATTTTCAGCTGAGCCTGTTAACACGGAACTTCTCTGGGACGTCATCAAGGATCTCATATTCGGGACGATTCCATTACCTCACTGCAAACTAAACCCCAACAGTCAACATATCGAATGAGATGATCCGATGATGAAGGAATTATCTCTCTTACCCCAATACAGGATATTCGGATAATGTCTATGTACGTCAAATTCCCTTGGTGACCCTCGGTAAGAATCTTATTTTCTTATTTCGAATATAAATACGGGTCTTTCCGAGATGTTCACTTACACAACTTCTTCTCAACGATATGTATTTCGCTCCCGGTAAAATGATGCCTACTACTTCAAACGATTCTTTGAAATTTCTGAACCCACAACTGGCCATGCTGATAACTCTACTATCAGTAGTAATGTGCCTTATGTTACTTATCGTATTGCTCTACACAATTCGGAAACAAATGGTTTCGAGGAAAATCCGAAAGTTTTCGATTCACACTATCCACTTTGAAGATGATAATATGTTGGTCAATGGCAAATTTCCCAAAACCTGGGTGTCGGGAGACTCAGCAATTACCACTTATGTTTGATTCGGAGATACGGACCTTCAATTTCAAGTGACTGCCTTTTTTCGGATACTTCCTTTATGCGGATATTTCATAATTTTACCGGTTTTTTTTGCATTTTCTTAAAATAAAATGATTATCATAAAAGCTGTGTTTGTACAAATTGGAAAAGATTTTGATCAGTCGGTAACCGCGCAACACGTCTAATAATTTGGTCCACCCGACCTTTGTCCAGTTTCGGTCCAGTGTTGGCTCATTGTTTATCCGGTGTTGGTCCGTTGTTCATCCGATGTCCGTCCGATGTCTGTCCAACGTTCGTCCGATGTCCGTCCGACATCCGTCTGATGTCCGTCTGCTATCCGCCAACGTCACACTCTGACTGATAATAACGGGAAAACACTTTTTTTCGTGTCCAACAACTTTTATCACACTACATCCAAGCTAGAAATTTACAAAATAAACCTCCAAAACTTTTCACTTCCAATTCTACATATTGTCTGAAAAAATACCTGATGTTTTTGTGACGATTGAATAAACAATCTGGAATTTTGTCGAGCCACTCTATTTGATTATTTTTTGCAGTCGGAAAATAGATATTTCTGGAATGGTCTACTCTGACATACATTTCGTTTTGAGAAATATTCCAGATTATCCGGACGGTTCACATCATTGCAGATGCTGTAAATCGCAAAAACACGTGGTTCTTTCATCTAGAATTGTGGCTTAATATATATTCACTCCAGACAACATCCCCAGACAACAATAATGCATATTTTCAGCGAAAAAATATCTCTTGGTATTCCCAACGATTCCATGAACAACCATCATTCTATTTCCTCATGGTTCGGAATTGTTGTATTCGCTTCAATGTCCATTATTCTACTTTTAATATTTTTGATCGTTTTCAAGGATCAATTGAACATTGCAAAGTTTCACAGGTACTCTGTTCATATGACCCCGGAAGAAAATGATGCGATTATGGCAGTCAGATTGCTCAGATACCACCGAGAGCAGTTCAATGAAGACTCCGAGATATCCAGCATATTTTTTATTGCATAGAGAGAGGTGAGACAAGATAGTTTTACTGAAAATAAATTACGTTAATTTCAGATATGAAGCTATGGAGAAGTTATTTTATTTTTTCAAACTCAGGAATTCTGTCCCAGGGTTTATAATCCGAGGGTGTTTCAAAACATTTTATGAATCCAATATAATAAATCCAATAACCCCAAGTGCTGATAATGTTGGACTTATCGTCTTTTGAGAGATATTTGAATGTTTGTAATGCATTGGAAAATTTTTATGTCCAACTATTTGGTATATTTTGTGATATTGATATTTTTATTGATAAATATTTCATATTAATGAGTATCAACAAGACATCGGAAAAATTTAAGGATGACAGGAAATAGAAAAACGAAAAAAACAGCCCACCTCTAATACAAGCCCACCCTGCATGTACACTTTTTTTGCAGTTAGTTTTGCAGTTTTTGCAGTTAATCTCTTTTTTGGTTTATTTTTCTTGTAATTTCAGTTAATTCTTGTCGTTTCGAAACTGTTCCAGTGCAGTCAAAAATCGAAAACCCCTAATTTGAGAATTTTTTCTGATATTAGTCCACCCCCAGAAGGAAGTTGAAAAATAGAAGCCCATGGGCCTCTATTAAAGCATACTTGTAAAATTCCGGCCCGGCCCGGCCCGAACCCGGCATGTTTTTTGAAATTTTCAAAACTTGTGGAATGACAGGCCTGCCGGGCCGGGCCTCCAAAGTTCGGGAAAAAGCCCGACCCGGCCCGGCCCGTTACAAGTATGTATTAAAGGAAATACAGTAGGTCTGTTTTGCACCCTCCAAAAATTTCAGAGTGATTGACAGCTTAACCGCCGAGCTCCGGACTCTTGTACATGGCAGAAAATCAACCAAAATAATTGAGGTCACAATAAAATCATTGGCATGGAGTTGTATTTTATCTCTTGTCATTCCTTCGAATGATTCAGATGAGTTCAGTCACAAAAAGTTGTGATGTCATCTTGAAATAATAACCGAAGACGCCACTTCATTTTGTATCGTGATTCAATTTTTCCAGTAATGAGAAATCCAAACACTACGTAATTTATGAACTGCTCAGCGAAAGTAGACCTCTGATAAGAAGTTCAATCCAGATCATGCCCAGATATTTGCGTCACGAAAAAACGTGTGTCTTGTTATAAGAGCATTGCTTTCTTCCCGAATCCTCAGAATCAAAATGTACGCTCCTACTGGAAAAACAATATCCGCCATGCCAAGTTTTTCATTAATTCATCTGCATAACACTTCAACTATATTTGGCATAACTGTATTTGCTTTAATGTGCATTTTACTACTTTGCATTATATTTCTGGTTCTTAAAGAACAATTTGATGTTTGTAAAGTTCATCGGTATAAAATTTATATGACAAACAAGGAAAATGATGAAATTATGGCTGCAAAAACCGTTAGATATTATCGAGACTATCTGGACGGAGATGTGGAGAATTCGAAAGCGTTTTTTGTTGTTTAATCTTTTCATATGACTTCAATCTTATGTACGAAATAAATAATTATTCAAATCTTCTCTTGCTCCAAATTTGTATCGCTTGTCAGTTTCCTTTCCATTCGTTCCGTACTATTAACCACTTTGAAAAATACAAAAGTAGATAAAATGGCTAGAAGCGGTAGGCCAACTGTATAAACGTGAAGTGGTAACATCGGACTAAAGAAGAAAATGATGACACAGGCAGCTGCTTGATACATTCTGGAGACAGAAAAAGATTGAGCTCTTCTGGATGGCATGACAAGGGCACAAATCACAGAACGAACTCCATTGAAGCAGCAATCGGAGATACCGCAGATGAGAGCAATGACAAATATCAATAAATATCTGAAAATTGGGAACATTGGTTAATGTTTTTAAAAGAGGCAATTTCTGCTTCTGTAGCTCAACTGGTAGCAACGCGGCACCTCCGTCAACTTTGAATCAATATATCTCGTTTTATTTTTAAGATATCAAGAAGTGGTAAATTGATAAAATATTTAGTATAGAATTTGAAACAATTTTCCAGTTGATTACTTTTTGATATCTGTCCCAGGAACAGAAATAAAATGGCTCAAGTCGAGTACATAGCGGTCCAGCTCAGCACACTTGCAACGGGCTGGGCCGGGCCGTGCCGTGCCGAACCGGGCCTCCAAAACGTTGGCCCGGCCCGGCCCGGAAGGCCCGGAAGTTGGCGCCAGCGTCGAAATTTAGCAAAAATAGCTTGTTTTTTTTGGAAAAACGTTTTATTTAGCATCTATAATAATTTCAAGCTGGATTGTAAATATTGAATTTTCAATGCTTAAACAAAATTTTTAAAAATAATTAAAAATAGACTTTTTTCCGGAGGTGGGATCGGACGGAAAATTGCATTTTTGAAACGAAATAACATTTTTCTCTCAAAAACTAGTTGTTTTGTTTAAAAATTTTCAAAAATTTATCGAAAAAATTTTTTTTGAGAAATTTTGGTCAAAAAAAGCCTGTCCGGGCCTTCCGGGCCATCAGGGCCGGGCCGTGCTTTCAACGATTTTTGCAAGTATGCAGCTTAGTGGGACGCACGCTGCACCTCCACTATTTTACCCGTAAGTCCAACTCCCCCAGGGCTTTTCTACGCTGAAAATCAAGAACACTTTCCTAGAGAAGCCTTTGAACTACGCATTCGAGAAAGCGCCGTTCGACCCGACAACCGGCTCTTCAACTATTTTTCTTTGTCACTCTCAATTTCAACTCAACAAAAAGATTCACGACATACGATTGATAAAACAACAATGGCTCCTCGGATGTCGGCTTCATTGGCGCTTCAGCCGGTGTTGAAGCGTGTATCAATGTACAATAAACCATCAGAGCAGCTGTCCCAATCGCCATAGTCGGCTTTAATCCAAAACCTTGAATCCGTTTACTCGATTCCGAAATGAAAAATCCCACTAAATTTCAAAAACAAGCTTAAAACCTTCCCATTAATCTAGAAGCTCACTCAACACTTCGCCCGTTCCTGCTCCTAGACCATAAATCGCTGGAATATACAACATGTTTGCATTATTTTCGTTAAAATGCATGGAGGTTGGAATAATGGACATGAGAAAGGAAGCATTGAATCCGCAGAGCATGCACAGTGGCACGATTTGGAGCATTTTGGGTGAGATTGATGTGATGAGAGTTAGTTCTGCAAGTAGTGAGAGGTAGAAGCGAAAGTTTAAAAGGATGTCTTACTCAAATCATTTTTGAAACTCCCATTTCGAATTGATGCTTCTATACAGTTCTCCACATCTGCAGATGGTAATAAACAAACAGTAATGACTGCAAGAATAGAGACCACAATAAGGACCAGTGCTAGAAGGCGACTGAAGGTATATTGTTTAAAATTTTCCTTTTCAAATGACGTACTAACATTTCAAAATCATCAAATGTTCTGATATCTGATTTCACTGCAATTTCAGTAACATTCAGAGTCATCGAAGTTGATACATTTCCACTGAACCAGGTCATTGTTGCAAGTATCATGGATCCAACTATCAGGCTTCCACAACCGATTGCCCATTGTAGAGAGACATTCGATTCGATGGATTTTCTTGTTGAGTGGGAAGTCAGGTAAGTGGTACATCCCAGATTGAAAACTGAAATGTTTTACGGTAGGATACACCTTGCTGCACTCACATGCTTTGCCAATACCCAGTACTACTGTGGAAAAATAGTGGTAGTAGGAATTGATGAAAAGAAATCCGAATGGGAAAGCCGCGAAACAGAGTGATGAAACGACCAAGAGAAGTTTTGGCCTCCAAATGTTCAGAAGTGACGGCGTAAACAAGCATGTGAGCATGAAGGAAGCATAGATCACAGCTTGGCTGAAAATAAAAATTGAGCTTGATACAGTCAAAGTGAAATTCCAAAGCTGGATATTTAGAAAGCCTTAGATTCAACATTTTTGAAGAAAACTAGGCAATCAAAAATTTTTACAGTGTAACGAGAAGCATGATAGCTTTTTCCAACTCGCAGGATTTTTGTTTTCATTTCAGTAATAGACAAAAGAAGCTGGTGGACTAGAAGTTCGAGATTTAAAAAAAACAGGGTCACCAAAAAATGATAGGGGTATTTAAAAAAATATGTAGATTGGTTTGGAAAACATTCTAGTGGTTTTTAAATGAGCGTATCTCAATTTAAACAAAGTTATAACTTCGTTGGTCTTGAAATATCGATTAATTCGGAAAGTTAGGTCATTAAAAATGTGCAGAGTATAATGAGAAGCATAGTGGTTTTATTAAGCATGTTGGTTTTAAAATATTGTACATTTTGAGAGACTATGGCAGTTCATAAATTTTCATAAATTGCTAATTTACAGCGTCAATTAAAAAAAAAAGATCCCGATGTACCTTTTGAACCTACTTCTTACAAGGTTAGGTGTACCTGAAGTTCCTAGGTAACATTTGAAACGGGAACCTTTTTCACTGTGCCACTTACCCATAATACCCCGCATACTCGTCGATTCTCTCCGGCTCCCTCTCATGCACCGAATGAATCACCGACTCCAGAATAAAAGCTTCTGCATCGAACGCGGTATTCATGAATAGCTGACCAAATCCTAACATCCCAGCACAGAGCAGCTCAAACCTCGGCACACCCATTTTCGACTGCCGATACGTTTCAAGGGAAAGAATAAACTACTGGAAATGTTTGAAAGGAACTTGGTGGTCAAACAGTTTTGCATAAGTTGAATTTGCATATCGAGTCGGTGGTGAAGTCAGGAGGAAAGTTCAAATAACCAGCATGGGTACAAGTTTATTACGAAACATTTCTCAATCTCTTAAAACAACGTCGACTTGTCTGCTATTCCTGACCGTTTCTCCGGTCCCACCCTCTTCTTCCACCTCACAACTTCAAAAAGATAATTCTGATAAGGATCGTAGTACAAGAACAACGAAAATGCACACGCAGTAGGATGATTCTCAGAAGCGAAATCTATAACATAGGTGATTCCAGTTATACGAACATTAAGGAGAATAGTTAAATACAACACAGAAAATGGGATACATGCAAAAGAGAGGTATAGGATTGCTTGAAAGATAGTTCGTTGATTGAACTTCTTGTGCATCTTTTTGGTGGCTTCCGATTCGTTGACCATTCGTTTCGCGAGCAAGATGAACACAACTTTTGCAGATACAACAATGGCGATTCCAATCAATACCCAGTTCAGGATGGTGAGTATTGAAAAGAGGTGTTCACTATTTTTATCACCTCCACTAACTGCTACACACGTTGGGTCCCATAAACAATCCGGGTAGAACTCCTCTCTCTGAAGAGATGGTAACAAATTTGAAGTCATTTCTAGTCATACCTGCATAATCTGCAATTTCTCAGAATGTTGATTCGGCACTTGCCAAATAGACAGAGGTATCGACCATAGCCCGAAAAGCGAAACAACTAGATAAATGAGCGACTCACATGCAATTCGACGACATGATAAGTATGTACGATACATGTTGACTATCATCAGAAGCCTACTAGTGAAAAGTATAAGGGCAGATGTGGCGGCTACTGAAATGTTCATTTTTCGAAGTTCAATTCAAGAAGGCGGACTCACTTGCTTCAATGACATTGTAAACGTGATACAAAAACACTGGATCGAATATCCGATTCAGGTATCCATCGATTCGAATTATGTTTGATGGTTGATAATCCAATATGTCAATTAGGAAGGCGTTGGATAACCATTCAATAGTGACCCTGGAGATTTCAAATACCGTAAACATTTTGATAGAACGTCACCCCTAACTTTCAAACTTTAATCAATTTATATCGGTCCGTATGAACGATATTAAAAAACAACTAACAAAATTTTTTATTTAGAAAAAAAAACTAACAAAATATGCTTGATATTATGATGAACCATTTTTCAATTGACTACTCTTTGATATCTTTATCAGGGGCCGAGATATAAGTTCTCAAAGTTGACGATTTTTTCGGATGGCCGCGTAGCTTCCGCGGCTCGGCTGGTTACAACGGGACAAATCCAACGATTCAACTCCTCGATATATTTTAATAAACGAAGTTTCAAAAAAGCTTACCAAAAACAATGCCAATAAATAACCCATTTCAAAAATCCAAAACTTTTCGGAGACTTGACGAGAACACAATAATGAGCGAATGGATAAATGATTGTCACAATTGCAGAGTACAAACGTTTTATAGTTGTATACACATACGGATTTTCATTCCAAATCGAATGTGACGAGTTCATTATTTTTCAAAAGTGGTGTAGGAACAAAAATCTATATTTTGACTCTTTCGGCTTTTTTCCCCAGGATTTTTTTTCTAATTAGAACATAGGAAAATTGAAAAACAGAACACTGAGCAGGAAAACAAATCTCTTGTTTTCGACGAATACCTTTTCCAGAAAACCCCATTATTCCAGATGTTCCAATAAAAACTAAAAAGTGCAACTTTCCCAGAACGTATTTGAACCAACCCATTTAATGTCTACAAATTTGCCAATTCCCATGAAAACTGTGACCTATTATAATTTTTTGAAACTGTGATTATTTTTTATTACCACCTGCCAACCATCAACCCCAAGGCTGCATCATCCCAAAGTCACAGTTTTGAAAGCGAACAGTCATTTCTTCGAAGCTTATCAATTTGAAGTTTCTGCCATTTTTGGCATATGAGTCACGAGTCAACAAACCACAAATTATAAAGTTTGCCGTATTTAAAGGAGGGGGTGCATGGAAAAAAGCTATCAGTTTTACGACTGTTCTTTCCGTTCTCAAGCTTCAACTCTCCAGAAAAATGGCTGCTGAAATTGGTGAGTTTATTAGTTCTTCAATAGTTATTTAAAATCTTTGATAGTTCTTTGAAAAGTTCTTCAAATCTTTCTCAGTTTTTTGAAAAACAAACCACTATAATCATTCTCATATAAGCCTTGCTGAAATGAACTCATGGGTGCTACTAGCTGAACTACGCTGTTGAGGAGTTGGCTACGTTCGGTTCATAATCCTAATGCAATTTTTCACCCCTTTTCCAAACATTCACTCTCTTAATTCCTCAATTTTCAGCCGCAAAAATCAAGACCGAGCTCGCCGCTGCCGGCCTCTCCTCCGGAGCCATCGACGGAATCTTCAAGATCGCTGCCGCCTACAAACCAAAGGATGGACACATCCCCGACAAAGCTGAGGCTCTCGTTGCCATTCCAAAGCTCTTCGGTGAGCTCGAAGCATTCATCAAGACACAACCGGAATCCGATCAAACCATCTACCACGCCATCATCGAGAAGAAGAAGGCCGAGTTTGCAGCTCTCACCAAGGCTCAGTAAATTTCAATATTTTTTGTGTTGCCATGATTTTTTGAATTCCGTTATCGTATGAAATTTCAATACTACATATTATTCATCTCCAACTTGAAAAGTGACAAAGTTCAATATTGGGAAAAAGTGATGTTTGCAGAACGGCTCTCGCATCATATTCTGGGGTCAACAATGCATGTCCCAAAATCTAACTTTCTAATGTCTTGTTGCTGTGTAAAAAAAAAGCTAAATGGAGTGGGGGGACAATTTTTTTGTTATATCGTATAAGCCCCTGGTGAGGGGTGTTGAACTTGTGGGCCCACCGTTGGAGGTTCTACGTGGTAAATATTGTCTGTACCTGATTCTTCAAAAATCTACAGGTTCCAGTACGATACTAATCTCACTAATCCCCTATTATTGTCTTCATCTTTCACTGTCTCGTTGACCTTGTAATCGATTTGGTCAAAGGAACCGCGGTAAATGTTCACCACATTTTCAAATCCTTAGCTTCAAAGGGTGAGAGACATGGAAAGTACTTCAAAAAGGATACTGTTGGCCCAAGGGTTCATCGAAAAAATAGTGTATCGAGTTGAAAAAAATGTAAAAAACAACGAAAACGTCAAACTGAAATTGGCTTGAAAAAAAAACAGAGAAAGTGATGCAAGGTCTTTAAACGATAAAAGTGTATATTTCTATGTTCGAAGGGAGAAAATCCTGAAAAATAGACGAAAAATAGAAATTTTCGTTTCCGTTTCCGTTTTAGTTTTCCGTTTTCCGTTTTTCGCCCGATTTTTGAAGCCTTTTCTCCGTTCCCGTTTCCGCGGAAAAAAATTTACGATTCCGTTTCCGTAAAAGTGAAATTTTATTTCCGTTTCTGTTTCCGTTTTCAGCGGAAAAAATGTCTCTTTCCGTTTCCGTTTTCCGTATTCCGGGAAAATGCGTTTCCTCCCATCACTGATCGGAACCGACTTACCCAGAGAACTATTCGAGAGTTTCCTTTTTCCAACGTACACAAAATCAATATGTTTCTCATTCTCTATCTATGTCTCTTCTCTTTTTGTTCATATGTAAACAGTCAGTGAGGAAATACGTCCTCCCTGATGCGTCACCTGTTGGTGTTGAACTTTTTTCAAACTTTAGTTTCATGTACACCACCGATTCGGTATTGCGGAGGTGTGTTTTTTTGTAGAGTAGAATATCCAAAATTTTGTAAAAACGGAAAGTTCAAAAATAGATCAACCATTTTTTAAAATCGATACACACATTTTCCAAAGTGATCAAAACTAGTACCTATTATTTTATGGTGCTTGTTTGACGTTTCTAGTAAGAGTCACCGAAATTGTTGGATACTATGACCAATTTGCTTTGAGTCGCAGTTTTTCGGAAAACCTATAACCAGGTGTTCAATAAAACATACTACACGTGAAACGCACACGTCTGCCTCCGTGGTTGTTATGTCTCACCGCCGTATTTGGCAAACAACAACCTTCAAAAGCTGCGCATACTAAATCTTTGCAACGCTTGTATAATTACACACGCACAGAACACAAATCCAAAAGTTTAGAGATCAAACTTTTAGTATACCCTCAATTTCTTTTCTTACTTTCTATAGAAGATAAGTATGTTTTGAGGTGTCCAATACATTCCTTTAATATATAGATATCTGAGAGAAAATCTTGGCCGGGAAATTATAGTTTCTCAAATAATGCAATTCAGCTCATTTTAACCTTATATGTCTCTCCGCTCGGCTTTTCGTTCCCATAGTTTCTCCGCTTTCCGTATACATTCTTTTTTTCTATTTTCCTTCAAAACTCAATCGAATTCGTACATTTAGTCTCAAACCATATAAAAGTTAGTTTAATTTTGGAACTTGTTTTGCAATACTTCTACCATGTATACGCCATCGGTCGAGTTTGCTATCGTCCCGTCTTGATACCTCTCTTTTGGAATAGATCCAAACCTTCTTGATAACACGTTACATTTTAATTATCAAAAATTTGTGCAGCCATGGACATCGCAGGCTCGTCGTGTTCCAGCTCTCCACCGGACTTAATTTCCCCGAGGGAACTAAAAAACTGCGAGGTCTGTGGGAAACAAGGTCATGGAAATCATTTTGGAGCAATTACTTGTCGAGCGTGCGCCGCATTTTTTCGGTAATCACATTTTAAAAACAGTTCGACCAATTTCTTTCAATTTCAGACGATTTGGCCTTACGAGCAATTTTCATCACAAAAAAGATGAAAAACGATGTGGAAATGCAATAAATGGATCTTTTGATTGTAAAATGTGTAGACTTCAGAAATGCATTGATATCGGAATGACCAGCCATAGTGAGATTTCAAAAATTGCTTTTTCTGTAGGAGGAGTTTTTCCAGATTTCCAATTTCTCAGAGACTCATTTCACAGGAAGAATCACTTAATGGTCACAAAAATACCACCGGTAAATCTGATCAACCATCTAAAACAAATTGAAAACAAGTTTAAGAGCATGAGCACGTTCACCGGGAGGCCGAATCTGATAATCTATTGTGCACCAAGTGAAAAATCTCAAAAAACGATTATCGATGTTCAATTTTTGTTAGAAAAAGCTTCAAATGTTTTGATGAATGTAAGAAAAGTTTTCATAAAATCATTTTCGAACAATCAATTTTTAGGGCGCTGAAACTCCAATACTCGCAGCAAATTCTCTGGAAAAACTTTCATTTGGATTTCAATATTTACGAAAAAAGCCAGATATAAGTAAAGCAAAAGTTATAACGAAAGTTGGGCGGGACCAAACTTTTGAATTATGGCAGAGCGATGTTCTGAAAGTTTCGAAGTGGCTTACTTATTTTGATGAGTTTCAGGAGCTTCCCCACCAACAGAAGGTATACAATTTTTTGATGTTGATTGATTTTTTCTTGTGAAAAATGATTAATTTCTCCAGATGGACATGCTCAAAGGAATCTGGATTATATGGAGTCGTCTAGAGAAGCTAGCTACTATAGCTATGACCAGACGAGAAAAAATATGTGAAGAAAATCAAGTGTTCCTGGATATTGACGATTGCCAAGTGGTTTTCGAAATGGGATCATTAGAAATTGATTTATCATGGTGCTCAAAATACACATTTGAGCAATTGAAGTTGTGAGTTTTTTTTACAAAAATTTGAAAATAAATAGTTTCTTCAGCTTCGGAAAGCCAAAAGTGGAGATAATCGATGAAATGATCAGAACTATGATGAACCTTCAACCATCAGATGTGGAATTGACATACATGTTATGCCAACTATGTCTTCATCATGTCGGAAGAAGATATCAGGGAGAGATTCTAGAAGTAACAGACCGTCTTCAAGGAATTCTAGCCGATAATCTACACGAATACTATTCGAATCGCATGGGAGTGCAAAACTATTCACGGAGGATTGCAAATATGATGAAGATCAATAATTGGGTTCGGGTATAATACTAAGGTCATTTTTTGAGAGAAATAAAAAATATTTTCAGCAAGGGATCCAACAGAGACGTGCGAAAGTGGAATTAATAAACATATTTGATGTGTTTTATGTAGAGTATTCGGATCCGGAGATGTTTGTGGATTTTTAAGAACAAGTAAAAAATGGGAGACGTTTAGAAACGTTCTATCATTATCGGCCACCCTGTAGTTGATGTGATCCTGACGGTCCATGCATCTACGTTGTTCTGAAATTGAGGTTACCTGAACCATTAAAAAGAAAAAAGTTATTATGAAGCTGGTGGAAAATTGTTCGTCGACGTTGCTGCTGTTGAGGAAACTTTTCCATTTTCGAAACAACATAAAATTGATTTTCGAAACGTTGAGATACAAAACATTGCGATAAGAGGTTCGATTGCTGGATATATTGCAGTGGAGCTTGCTGAGAAGCTGGCTACGCCTCCTATACTGGTTTCGAAAAGTGGAAGAGCAAAAAGCAATCCGACTGGGATGTACATGAGAACAAATGGAAGGAGAGTTTGAAAAAAGCCTAGTGAGCTTAACATTCTGTTGCTCGTGGGCGCACCTGTAAACTCAACGTAATAAAAAGTTGTCTATTGAGATCCTTGGTTCTATCACTTAGTGTGTCACCCACTTCATTCATTTTCTTGTAGGTGTTGACGCCGCAAAATAGAATCGTCATACAACAAAGTGACTGAAAATTGTCATACTCCTTCTGTTCTATGTATTTGGCTCACCATCAATACACACAAGCCACTCGTTCCGATACAATCTTGAATATTCCAATGAATCACTCCATTCTGGTCTGTATTCCAATACAAACCACCTACGAATGTCACATTTTGTGAATACTCGTCATACTGGTCATGAAGAGGTGCTTCTAGGATTTTCCGTTTTTCCGATGATATCTGAAGGCCAAGAAGGCAAAAAAAGAACCAGGTAATTGAGAGTGTGAGCGGTGGGATGAATAACATAGCTAGTTTTGGGCCTTCGAAATGGGCTAGGAAGTTGGGTCTGAAAATTGGAATGAACTAAAAATCAGAAGAAAAGAAATTTCGCAAAAATCCTACTTGCATAGTGCCAAGTAGCGGTAGAAAAACTGAGCTGATAAAAGAGAAATGCACATTCCAAATGATGCTCCAAATATACCTAAAACACAGCATTTCAAATGCTCTTCAACGTTTCAAAAAGAACAGAAAATGATCAAAACTCACAGACTAACACATATCCAGCATTTGGCCAATACCGTAGTGGACCATGATTCACCACAACAAACAATTGTTTTTCTACTAGGACCAAGGGTTGGGTCATTAAATCCACATAGTTATAGATTATGGCATAGATCGAAAATATGGCCATCATGTATCTATACGGACCGAAACACTTTTTAGTTTTTTTATAGATCAAATACAGAAGAATCGCATTTGTAATTTGAGAGAAAACAAAGCTCACGTATTGGAAGATATGGATTAAATGGACCATTTTAGAAAAAAAATTACATCCGGCGGACTGATATAAGCAGTGAGCTTATAAGCTCGCAAATAGGAATATAATCAATACAACAGTTGTACCGGGTAAAAAAAATTGGGAATGTTAATACAAGAAATGGATGGAGACAGTAAACAAGTTTTTGTAGTACTGCTTATAAGCAGGAATTAAGACGTAGTCGATGTAACCGAAAACACATGAATTAGTGTGTGAAGATATAGAGTATGTATCCTTGAGTGAAGAGTCATTAGTCATTTTTCATGAACTCATTGGTCGGGTTGACTAATGCGATAAAAATGAAGGCGTTCGGGTTAGTCTACTACTGGTTGTGAGTTCCAGCATCAATGGTGAAGAGCTCTGTGCCGGAGAGAGTACAAGTAGTACGAATACTTATCGAACTACCCAATACTTGATGGATCCTACGGTAGACGTCACGAAGATTTTCACTCTGAGCCCCCGAGTCTGGTGAATGTTCAAAGTTAATGGTGGTTTTGATTTTTGTTTTAGTAGGTTCCTCTGATCCTTTTGGATATTTTCAAAAACATTTCGGACACCTGATGAAGAAACTCCCTTCTAGCCACATCAACACGTGCACCCCATCTCGATAAAAGTCGCGATCATGGGTTGGTGTGGAGAAGTCTTCATAATTCTGAACAAAAAACAAAATGATACCAAATGATATAAATCACTGCTTATAGAGGGTCCCTACTTTCTATTAGTTTCGAAAGTTTTCAAAATTATTCTTTGGCCCCGGGCCAAGGAGCTCTCAAAAAAAAACGTCCTATCATTATCGGCCACCCTGTAAAAGTGAACATATATTTCTTGAAACTTATTTCTCTTGTAATGTATCTTTTTATATTTAATAATATTTTTCTGTATTTTATGTTTTCTATAGTTCTGGAGGTGAATTGATTGTGATTCCGATTAGGTTCGTGTATACAGTACCGGTTAAAAATACAAACACGTGTTTTTTCCGTTGATTTTGACCATTTTAGGAGTCAGTTTTTTCATCTAGTTGTGTTTTACTCTCTCCACGCTTTTCAAAAAAAAAAGGGAAACTTGACAGCCGAGCTCCACTCTCCAAAAAATGGTCCAAGACAATTGAAAAACACATTTTTGTGAGTCTTATTGACCGGTAGTTTCGTTTTGACGTTAATTCGAATTTTTGAAATTTCAGATCTGGATGAGAAAATGTCTTTTAATTGTATACAAAACCTATATCCCTGACAAAAATAAAACATTTTTGTCGACTATTTTTCATCTTCGTAAATGGCTAAGCATTGTTGTTGTCTAAGCCTTGCCAGATGAACCGTTAAAGCTGAAAGTATTGAAATAAAACGGAAGTTTTTTGTTCTCGTACCGGAAGGAGGCAAATATATGTGTTGATATTTGGATTGTATATGCTTCTTAAGAATTTGAACTTGTTGACCCACCGTTGGAGATGCAGTGTTGCTACCAGCTGATCTACGGTGGCACCACTGCCATATATGGGAGCGGCACGGCAATCACACGCCAGAATGCATACAGTATAACCAAACAATCTTCGGGAAATTTCATGTCTCCCTCTTTCGAATAACTTTTCCTCCAAACAAAAACTTGTGGTTTATGTCCACCGCTATATCTCATGACTCACATCAAGTTATATTTACACAGTCTTTTGCCGTCTATGTCTCTTTGTTTCGATGATCAATGACTCCTCCATTCCCGACTACATTTTAACGATTTTCTCGACAAATGAGCAAACCAAGTTCATTAGAACATTCTTGTCCGTCTCTTACTATTACTGCAACTAAAAACTGTCAAGTTTGTGGTAAACTAGGTCATGGAAAACACTTTGGCGCGTTTACTTGTAGAGCATGTGCAGCGTTTTTCCGGTGAGTGATAGATTCGAAAATTCCAAAAAAAAGTTCAGCTTTCAGACGTTTCGCACAGGACAACAATTTCAGGCCGTGCGAAAAATATAAAATATGTGGTCTGCCAAAAAATGGATGGTTCAATTGCAAATCGTGTCGACTGAAACGATGCCGGAATTTAGGAATGACCATGGATAGTAAGTATTTTTTTCTGAAAATTGAAGTTCCAGAAAAAAAACTTGAAAAATCCAGATTTTCAATTTGGACGGGACCCGTACGTCTCAACGATTGCCAAAACACAGAATACCATTCCAACGGTAAATCTTTAAAAAAAAACATTTCTGTCCAAAAGGTGACTTTCAGACAGTCGACATTTTTCTCGGAAAGCCAAGTTTGATAATTTACTGTGCACGGCAATCAGGGTCCGCGGATCATTTCAAATTCAATGTAGACCTTCATTACTTATTGGAAAAGGCTGAAAAAGTTTTGGAAAAGGGTCCCGAAACAATTATATATTCTTCAAATCCTCTTGAAAAGCTGTCTTTTGGACTCCGCAAAATTTGCTGGCCCGATACCAGTACAACAAAGACCGTTACAAAATTTGGCAGAGACGAAACATTTGCATTGTGGGAAGATGAAATTTTGAAGGCTGCCAAATGGCTCACCTACTTTGACGATTTTCAGATGCTTTCTATGCAACTGAAGGTGAAAATGAATACTATAAATTTTTTCAAACGAATTAATTTTGCAGACAGAAATAGTGAAAAGTGTCTGGAACGCGTTTAGTCGTTTGGTTCGAATAGCTAGTGCAGCGATGGCTAGAAAGTCGGAAGTTTGTGAGAAAAACATGCTGGTGACGTATATTGGTGACGAATTTTTAGTTGCTGATTACAAGAAAATGGTTTTCGACATTTCGTGGTGCTCGAATTATACACACGAGCAACTGAAATTGTGAGTGACATTTTTGATAAAATTTTTAGGGTTTTTTTTGGCCCGGCATCCGAGGGTCTTTAAAAAAAGGTACAGTGGTTCAGAGGGTACCCGTTTTGAGGTACATCAGACGGTATTTCTGATCAATCCCATACAAGAATTGCCATGATGGACCCTCTGTCCCACGATGGGACCATTGCTCCCAAAAAGGTACCCGGTCTCATCGATCATAAGGGTCCCATGACCTTAGTCCCTCTGACTATGGTCCCAACAACCTTGCCACGGTGCCATCTACCTTAAGAGATTTATGGGGAGGGATGGGACCGTGGGTACCTTTTTGGGATTTCCCTTCTGCAACTGACCCACGATTAAAACAGAACGTCATTTTTAGGATATCGTCCCAGAATTTCTGTGCCCTCTGAACCAATGTACATTGACCTCGATGAACCATTGCCTTCTTTACGTTGGACTCTTTTTTTCAGTTTTAACAATCAAGACTTCCAAGAAGAATGTGACGATCTCATTCAGGCAGTCATAAATCTGGACCCCACAGACGTTGAATTGTCCTACATGCTGTCCCAGTTATGTTTCCATCAAGTCGCCAAAAAATATCCTGGAGCAATTCAAGAAATCGCCGAGAAGTTTCAAGAAACCTTGTCTAACCATTTGCATAGCTATTATGTGGAAATTTTGAACAATCCAATATACTCGAAGAGAATAGCGTGCATGATGAAGATTAATAATCTTATAGAAGTGAGTTCTACAAAAGCCTTTGTTTGTTAAAATCAAATGTTATTTTTAGAAATGCATCTATCGGGACAAAGTGAGGTCGGAGTTGAAAAAAGTGTTCGATATCTATTATGTGACATACTCGCCTCCGGATTTTATCGTTCAAAGTTAAAGGAGGGCAGACAGCAAAAATTTCGGGGAAAATTTCAGGGAATGTGTATTTTTCCGTCGCGGTGTTCGCACCTAAAGCACGCAATCCCACGCGCAAACATTTTTATTTTTTTATTTCCCGACTTTATTTTTTTCAATTTTTAACGACTTCAAACATTAAAAAAGCTCTTTTTTCTTATTTATTATAAAACCCATATAAAAGTGAATTTTTTAATGTAAATTTAAAGTTCTATCGACCGATTATTTTTCCAGTCGCCGGTGTTTTTTATAGGCATGCGAAAAAAACTATTTTCTCTTCGATAACCGTTTCTTCACTGTTCCTATTTATCTCATTACTTCTCGTTATTACTCTAGGAATAAAAAACTGTTTTATGACTAGGGTTTTCAGAGACGTCTCCAATTTTACTGCTTCCTTCACCTTCCGACGACCAGCCCTGCACGAGGATTGTTTTAATTATGTGGTTTTTCTTTCAATTGTTATGTCTCTTTCTAAAAATTAATTGTAGTTTTTTTCATAATTTATTTGTTAACATAATAAAACAAGTTTCTTCATTTTCAACTGATTTTGGTACCTCGGAGCGAGGCCTCGGCGGCACGCTGGTAGCCTTTCAGAAATTCCGAGTTCAAAAAGTTCAATCCGAAGGAAAAAAGGGAAGAAAAAAGTAAAAACACCAGCAGGGATTGAACCTCTGACCTCCTGAATACTAGCCTAGAGCGTACCCACTACACTACGCGTGTAAGAGGCGACCATCGCGTTTTTCACATTATGAAGCGACGCCGCAGCAGCAAGCTAGTGAAGAAATTAGGGTGACAAAAAAGAGCATTTTTTCGTCCTTGAAGTGTTTTTTTCAGGTTTTTAAGTACATAGCTATATTTATACTTCAGAGTTATATCTTTTCAGTAAAAATGAAAATTTTGAAATTTTTGATGTCTACCCTCCTTTAAATGGCATTATTTATTCAATTAACCATTTTTAATAAACTTCGCGAATCCAATTCTCGACAATCCAAAATCGTAAATGTGACAACATCCACGAATCAGGGCGTCTCCAATAACCCACGGCATTTCTCCACTCTCATCATTTGTATCATAAAAAGCCAAGGCGCATTGTCCGTTGTGCAATCCCAAATCGAGGACATAATTTTCTGATTTGATAGTATACGGTTTTCCAGCAATAAGGAGAATGATGTCCGGATAGGATTTGATGTTAGAGCACGGGACCATGAACGCTTCATTGGCCAAATCGTATGTGGTTGGTAATGTTGACAAGTGCAGTTAAATCTCGACTGGGCATTCCTGTCCACCCCGATCCAGTTGTTGAAATGGCCTGGAAAATGTATTTGATGGTTGTGGAACAGGAAAAAAAATTGTGACCCGTTTGGATCACTTATAATAATAATTTATTTGATTCAGGACTATCAGTCACTTATAAAATCAATGTGTTACAAATTAAACAAATCAGTTAGAAATTATGTTCGTCTAGGAACAGGAAAGAAGATAAATTAACATTACTTAAATTAGTTTTAAAAGAGATGGATGAAATCAAAGGTGGGAACACGGTTTTTGGAAGCGAGTTCCAGCAGGACATAATACGGAGAGTAAGAAATTGAGCAGAAAGTTTTGAAGCATTTTTTAGTGTACAGTGAATGTAATATGGGTGGCGTCTTAGATGATTATGATAAAACGGGACAATGAATAGATTATGGGCAATTGCAATTTCCCGGGAAACTAGAGTTTTATACATAAACACTAGATCGGATAGAAGTCGACGGTACTCTAAGGATTCTAAATTGTGATCACGGAGACAATCAAAGTAGGATATATAGGGATAGTTGAACTTCTTGTAACATCGGAACAGGAATGACTTTTGGACGCCTTCAAGAACTTATCTAGAAAAATTTTACTTGACAAATTTATGGTTTTCTTTCTATTGACCCATAATTTTTTTTTTGAAAAGACAGAAAAAATGCTGAAAACCAGTTCCTTGAAAATTTTGAAATAAGCCTGAGGAAGTGCCGCGCCACAACCGCCTGAGCTACGCGACCGCGACGTTGGCTGACGACCAACGACGTATCAGAAAGAGTTTTGACCTCAGAAGAACCACGCCCCTTTAAAATGTCAAAACTTTATTTCATACGAACCTGTTGCTTTCCCACTCTCTTGTAGATGCCAAAAGACACTCCATCCACATAATATCCCCAGACCGTCGGATCCGCAAGTGGAGCAAAATTCACTTCCTTATCACACACTTTTTGATCAACTCCTCCGTACACAATTGCACCTGCATCCATATAATCCTCGCCATGCTTATCCAACCAAATTGAGAATACAGGACTGTCCATATGTGGCAGCAATTTGACGATTACAGGTTTTGTTCCACTAATCGCACGTGCTGGAAATCCCAAACCAAGTACTCCATCCACTGGTTGTTTGGTATAGACATAGGGTACATTTAAAGCTCTTCCAAAGTCTTGATTGGAAATTGTAAAGCCAGCCATATTAAGTTTCTCCTGTCCTAGTTTTCAGTTAGAAGGGATCCATGGTAAGTGATCTCGAAATCCTTTTTAGAATCCCGAAACGTTGAGGAAGCTGAACTATTGTATGTGTGCTTCAAAGTGTTATTGTGAGCAAATCCGTGGCAGTTTCGTGAGGCACAGTTGACATCAAGAACCCACAAATTTGATGAGGTAGTGTCAACCGCGACATTGAAGGTTTGAGCTGAAACTGAATTAAGTGGGTATTGAACAACAATTATTATAAAATTACAATATTATTATAAAATACCTGGAGTTCCCAAAGTGACAGTAGCCAAGTAGTACTCATCTAGAGTATCGTACAGCACTTGATTTCCTTTTTTCAATTGTTGAGTTTTCCTTAACGTTGGTGCTCCAGATTTATTGATAGGAATTGAGAATTGAGTAGAAGAGACAAATCCCATCCCACTAGAGTAGCCAATAGAGCTAAACGCAATATCATTGAGGAAAAATGGTAAGGATAATAGTGAGTTATTCCTTTTATATAGTAAGCTGCTCTACGAGCATCGTCTCATTTCTGGATAGTTATCGGCAGATGTACTTTCCCGATGTGTTTATGATCAGTGATGTGGGTGTGTATGACTAAAATTATGATGTTGGTGAGAACTTTTTGATTCTTTGATTCCTGATAGTAAGACTGAGGAATAATTGAACAAAAATTATTATCGTTGATATTCAATTAAAAATTTTGTAAGCAGTGAGGCCAGGAATATTTCTGGATTTTTTTCTTGGAGCTACAGTATGCATTTTGACGTGACGGTGTACAGTATTCTTGAATCACACGTGGCCATCGTGTTGTGAGACATCGGTCGACTGCTCAACTTGCGCCGAGATGCTTATTAACAAAGCTTTGAGAAGAATATATATTTTATGTCACTCCACCTTTTAGAATGGAAATATCATTTTGAATATCACAGAATTTTTGATACCTCTTACGGGAATCAAGATAATTTGAATAAAAGTGCGCGGCTCTTCTATTACAGGTCTCACACACAAAAGGATTATCAGTTCAAGTGTCAACCGGTAATGAATCTACCGTAAAACCTGTATAAGAAGGGCCCCTTTAATAGAAGGGCCCCTCTAATAGACGGGCCCTCCGAGAGTGGTTTGGAAAAATAGAAGGGCCCCCTGTAATAGAAAGGCCCCCGTAATAGAAGGGCCCCCTGTAAAGAAGGACCCCCTCCAAAACATTTTCCTTATGTTTTTAGTGAAAAATTTTCCGGGAATTCCATAATTTCATATGAATTAGCTGGAACACTTTTTTTTTTGATAAATGAATTTTGAACAAAAAGATAACTGAATTTTGAACAAAAATTCGTCGAATTTTTTAATGAAAAACTTTGGGAAAAATCGCCGTAAAAATAGAAGGGCCCCTCTAATTGAAAGGCCCCTGTAATAGAAGGGCCCTCCGGAAGTATTTTGGAAAAATAGAAGGGCCGGTCCTTCTAATACAGGTTTTACGGTATTAATCTGAAAACCGCGTACGAATCCGTTTTCCAACTGTTTGAATAACGTGCAAATATCTCAAAAATCTACCCACCTACATTTATTTTTATCTATCTTCTTTGATCTAGATATTTCTCTGCAGGTATCCAAACAAATGACGTTTCCTAGTATGTATTTTTATGCATCAAATAACATATTTTTTAAAACTTAATTTTGCCCTTTTGCGATTCTTGAACATAACACAACCTTCATGTTTACCGTTTCTCCTTCTCCAAATGTTTACATTTCCAATCAATATTTTCTGCGTGTGTGTATCTTCCGATTCTCGTGTAATAGGTTTTTCCGACCGTCTGCGTGTCCTCATATCTTCATATTTTCCACACTACACGACCTGTTAAAACATGCGTTTTAGGCGAATAGCGTTGATCTTTGTGTCCCCTCTTTATTTTTGTTTCTGAGTAGTGCTGATTTTGCGGTTGAGTCGTAGTTTTTAGACAAAAAATTCAGCTGTTAAGAAGCCACCTGGAAAGTTTTGAACGATTAGTTTGGCCAAATAACACCATAATTTCTTTTTGGATTAATGTTTCTTTTACTTTTTTTCGTCTAGGGGCATATTTCAGTACTTTTTTAAAATGTCTTCTTAATGTCCTCTTTGCCTTTCAACTTTGAGATAATTTATTTCGGTTCCCGTGAGAGATATCAGAACTGATTCATCAAAAAACTTTAAATGACAAACATTTTATCCGTTGACTACTTTTTCATATCCGTAACAGGAAAAGATGGGTATATTCCAGTATAGCCCCACGAAACCATACTTGTGGAAAAGATGGCCGGCCCGCGGGCCGGGCCGGGCCATGGCCGGGCTGAAATTTTTCTGAAAGCGGGCCGGGCCGGGCCGGAAAAAATTACACATGGCCAGCCCGCTTTTTGAAAATTTTGAAATTTTAGAGCGAATCATCATTTTTCAAGATGGTTTTTCTTCTTAGCTAATGAAAATCCACACTAGAGGCCGATACTGTCGACAAAAACTGTTTTGAAGTCGTGATTAGAAAAAAGTTTCATCCTTGGCTTAATGAAGTTTGATTTTTTTTGCTAAAAATTCAATTAAATCGACTTTTTCGGATGGTTGTATGCATTTGGATTAATATTTGCGCCATTATAAATATTTTGGCACCTTCGAAAAATAAAATTTTCGGAAAGTTGTCCTAGGCGGGCCGAGCGGGCCGGACCGAAAGTTTTGAGGCAAGCGGGCCGGCCCGGCCATCCACATGTATGCCCGAAACATTCCAATATAACACCCCTGGCATAAATGTTGGAATACACCCCCACCAACCATTTTTCATAAGGTGGGTGGGGGGTTCAAAAAATGTTTTTCCTGATTTTTTGCCTGAAGATCAAACGTACGCAGCCAAATTACGCATAGAAAAATATTTGTTATTTATCGATTTTGCACCGTTTTTTTGTTAGTTTTCTTTAGATTTCGGCGTTTTTTCTACTTTTTACTCAAATTTTCCTGATTTCTGGTTTATATTACCGTACATTTTTTTGTCATTCTACTAGAGAAATAATTATTTAATGCCAGTCCCCAACAAAAAATAGGCTTAGGCAAAAACGGGTAGAAATGTTGAAGATTCCAAATAAAAATAAGCTTAGCATCCTAAATCGGCGTATACCTTGAAAACAAGACCCCTAGAAATTTTTAAGATTTCAAGTTTCAATATGACTTGAATGTTGTTTCCCTGAACTTTGCGCTTCTTTTCTTCCCATATTTTAACGATCCCTATGACTTGTGCTTGACGCGAAATTCTATATGTTTGCACTTGTCTTTAATGTCTCTCATCTCTCGTAGTCAAAACCTTTTATTACACTATGTCTCCATAGTAGCTCTTTCTATTTTCTTTTTCTCTACCTCTCCTCCTTTTCGTATTTTGCCCTTCTCACCTGATTCTTCACACTTCTTCTAACCCAACTTCCTTCACTTCCAGACTGAAACTTTCAGCTATGAACACCCCAAGCTCTTCTCATTCATCCCCTCCTGATTTGTTATCAGTGGTCCCTCCTATCGCTTTCTGCCAAGTTTGCGGCAAAGACGGACATGGCAAACATTTTGGAGCAATCACGTGCAGAGCATGTGCCGCTTTTTTCAGGTTAGATTGATTTGTAATTTGGTTGGGAAAATATTGCAAGTTTTCGACGTTTCGGACTGCAAAACAATTTCAAGCCGTGTAAAAAGGACGCAAAGTGTGGGCCGCCAAAAAATGGATGGTTCAATTGCAAAAGTTGTCGGCTAAGGATCTGTAAAGAAATCGGAATGACAAGTGATAGTGAGTTTTAATTAAAAGAAAAAGGGGCCTGAAAAACTGAAATAACTCAAAATTGGCCCTAAATCAGTTTAAAATCAGGGCTGTGCTAAGGCCGGCCGCAGCCGGCTTTGTCTAGGCCTGTAAAAGCCGCGGCCGGCCCAGGCTAGCCGTGCGGCTTTTTGGAAAAATTTTGAAAATGGATTTCTTTCTGAATATGTTTTCCGAAAAAAAACTGGCCCATACTCCGAGGGTACATCGAAAAAGGGTACATCACTCTTATAGGGTACATTGACTCAGAGGGTACATTGACTGATAGGGTACATCTGTGGAGGAGTCTGATAGGGTACATTTAAGCAACTCTCATAGGGTACATCGACGAAATACTCAAAGGGTATATCGAAAAAATCTGAAAGGGTACATTGGTCTGATTTCGCACAGTTTTCGAATGTTCGTAACTTAATGAGACGGACAAGTTTTATAACGAAGTTTCGGTCATTCATCGGATTATAAGCAACTTACTGATGCTCGGCGAGGTTTTGCAACGTGCTCCTCCTCAATCTTGAATAGTACGCGCTCATTTCTCGATCACTCAGGAACGCTATTTCAAAACAATTTTAGTAATTTACCCGCATTCTGAAAGCTTGAGCAGCGAGCTACACTTTTTTTTCTAGCCCAGGAAGATAAATAACTTCAAACAGATACAATGAAAGATACAATGTTCGTCCCTAAGTGATCGAGGAATGAGCGCTTACTATTCAAGATTGAGGAGGAGCACGTTGCAAAACCTCGCCGAGCATCAGTAAGTTGCTTATAATCCGATGAATGACCGAAACTTCGTTATAAAACTTGTCCGTCTCATTAAGTTACGAATATTCGAAAACTGTGCGAAATCAGACCAATGTACCCTTTCAGATTTTTTCGATGTACCCTTTGAGTATTTCGTCGATGTACCCTATGAGAGTTGCTTAAATGTACCCTATCAGACTCCTCCACAGATGTACCCTATCAGTCAATGTACCCTCTGAGTCAATGTACCCTATAAGAGTGATGTACCCTCAATGTACCCCTTTTTGATGTACCCCCGGAGTATGGGCCAAAAAAACTACCAGAGGGATGGTTTTGAGGTACACAGTTTGGAATCCAGTAAAAAAGGATCAGGATAAAATATTTTTCAAGAATTCCGGATTGTTTTAAAACTACATTGGTTTATTGAACGATATAGAATGATACAATAGAGGGCCTTTTGTACTGGTTACATGATAAAGAATTTAATAAAAGAAAGTGATTGCGGGGGATGCAATGCACATTCCCCGGGGAATCACCATCAGAAGAGTGCGATTTAGCACACTCCCGGCTTTAGAGAAAAGAAGACACAGCGAAATTTAAAACTAGTTGTCCATTGGTCCAATTGACACTGAAGAACCTGAGTGACTACGTCTTCGGCGTCCACTCGCCTCTTGTATACTGTTCTGCGTCACGTCGTTAGTGCCTTTTCTCGTATCGTCTTGGCGAGCGTTCGAAGGTGTGACATCTACGGGGTCCATGATTCTACTGAATACGTCTCGTAATGTGTTAACGTCGCGTCTTTGTGATCTAACACCTCGGTGGTCTAGCATGAAAGATCAAAATCTCTCGTTGGAGAGAGGCTCCGGGCGGGAAAAGCGTCCTCGTCGGTCCACTTTTGATTGGAGCAAGAAGTTAAGTTCTTCTTCGTTGTTGCTTATCATAAAAATAAGACTTACGGTTTGAATAATCCATATTGTTCGGAGGTGAGCTGCAAGCTCGGGTGCAACTGATATCTGACGTGCTACGAGCGCTGTCTTATAGCTTTCTTGTCCTCGTTCAGATGCGTCAAATGTGATCGTCCTCACCAAGTCCCGACCACTTCGTTCGAATGACTTGGACCTGCTAATCCTGTGTCCACCAGCTCCCCAAGTCTCAAGTATGCCAATGACTTTGTTGACTATATCAGGAGCTGCCAATCATGTCTGGTACTGCATGCCGCTTGCGATACAGTAGTGAATATTGCAACAGCGAATAATAGGAGTATAGAGGTACCAATGTAGAATCCTGCCACGCGGGACTTTGAGCGACCGGGGGTTTTTTTTGTTTTAGAACCTTTTTGTTTTAGAAGCTACATTGGTTTATTGAACGATATAGAATGATACAATAGAGGGGCTTTTATACTGGTTACATGATAAAGAATTTAATAAAAGAAAGTGATTGCGGGGGATGCAATGCACATTCCCCGGGAATCACCATCAGAAGAGTGCGATTTAGCACACGGAATACGAAATACGGATTCTGTGTTTCATCGTCTCTAATTACTAGGATTGTGATAATTTTCATCAACATAGTCATTTTTCAGAAAATAACATATAATTTGAACACTTTACGGAAAAAAAAACATTTTCCAAAAAGCGGCTTTGCCGCGGCTTTCTCGGCTTTTGAGTAAAAAGCCGCTGCCGGCCGCGGCCTCTAGAATGGAGCCGCGACCGCAGCTGGCCGCCATTTTGCACAGCCTTGTTTAAAATGATCTGAATGTGACTGAAAATCGCTTAGAAAATAGAAAATAGCTAAAACTTGCCCTAAAATCTGTCTTAAATAGCTCAAATTTAGCTTGAAATTAGTCTGAAGTTGCTGACATTTGACTTCAAATCTATCTAGAAATTAGTGTCAAATGGCCTTGATTTGGCATGTATTCAATCTGAACAATCTCAAACTCAGGCAAAAATCAGTCCAAAGTGGCCAAAAATTTGTCTTAAAACGTCGAAAATATCCTGAAATAGGCCTAGACTCGGTTCAAAAAAGCTCAAAATAAACTTAAAATAAGTCTGAGTTTACCTAAATTTTCCCTGAAGTCTCTCTGAACTTGCTGAAATCGCTCAAAATTCTAATCGAAGAAAAATCTGCTGAAAAAATATTTAGAATTTTCCAAAAACCATTTTCCAGATTTCCAGTATGATCGAGATTCATTCACTTTCAAAAACACAACGACTACTACAAAACTCCAGAAACGAATACCAATGGTACATCTTTATATTTTTCTATGTTAAAAATAACTTCGTTTTTCAGTCCATGGGCTCGTTTCTCGGCCGGCCCAATCTCATAATGTACTGTGCACCTGAGCCAGGGAGCATCGATGAAAACTCCAAATACACTATCGATGTTCAATTTCTAATCGATCGAGCTTTGCATATCATGCAAAAAGGCTCTGAAACGCCAATCTACGCGACAAACTCTTTGGAAAAGTTGGCACTGGGATTACAGCAAATCAGAGGTCCACCAGCGAAAAAAGTGAAGATGTTATCGAAAATTGGACAGGAAGAGATTTTCGCATTATGGGAAGATGATATGCTGAGAGTTGCAAAATGGTTCACCTATTTTGATGAGTTCCAACGGCTACCTTCCAAACTACAGGTGTGTCTGGAACCGTTTGTTAGGGCAAACTTACCATATTTCTTTTCAGCTAGACATGCTCAAAGGCGTGTGGAACGTGTTTGGACGCCTTGAACGCATCGCATCGACCGCGATCGCCCGCCAACAGAACATCTGTGGTCAAAGCGTGTTGATGTCAACTGTCAATGAGGATCATGTAATGTGCGATATAAAAAACTTGGAAGTTGATTTGTCCTGGTGCTCACGGTACACTTTTGAGCAGTTGAAGTTGTAAGCACTATAAGAATTCCCTGTGGCAATTCTAGATAATTTCAAATTTCAGTTTCGACTCTACGGACCACGAAAAACAACTGGATCTCTTGGTCCAAGCCATTTTGAACCTTAAACCTACTGACGTGGAATTGTCTTACATGTTGTGTCAGTTGTGTCTTCATCAAGTTGGGAAAAAGTATCAAGGAGAGATTCTAGAAGTCACCGATCGGTTTCAAGATGTCCTTTCGGACAACTTGCATGATTACTATACAAATAGGCAGAATCTATCAAACTATTCTTTAAGAGTGACAAATATGATGAAAATCAATAACACAATTGAGGTAAGTGGTTTGGCAGGAATTTTAAAATTTTGAAAAAAAAAATCGAATTTCAGCAATGCATCTACCGCGACAAAGTAAAGTCCGACCTATTTCGAGTTTTCGATGTGTTCTATGTCAAATGTTCTCATCCGGATCTGTTTTTGAATGCTTGAAGATGATGATCTCCAGAAATTTCTAATCATCAAATACATATTGTCTTATGAGTTTTTCTTTTTCTATCAACTTTCATATATAAAATTTTCTGTGAAGCCATGTGCTTCTGGTGGAAATTGTGATTTTGTGAAAAATGGATATTTTTGTTGTAAAATGTGTAGGCTGCAGAAATGTTTCGAGGTTGGAATGAAATGTAAGTGAGAATATCGATTCATCTAGTGTGTTTTTAGGTCATTTACCATTGTGGCCTAGACGAAATATTTGAAGCGGTTTGGAACACTTGCTCTTAAGATGTGCTCACTGGAGCATAAAAGGTATGGTTCAGGAGTTTGGCTGTAACTCGGCTCAAAATGATCCAAATGTGCTCAAATGTTGAAAAATGGGTGTCTTCAAATGCTCTAAAATATACATACAAAACTTTATATTTTAAGAAAAATAATTTTTTTATTTTAAGAAAAATAATTTATGCTCCAGTGAACACATCTCAAGAGCAAGTGTTCCAAACCGCTTTAAATTTTTTTTGATATATATTTGATCTACACCAAACATTTTTCATTACAAAGCCAATCTTTAAAGAAATTCTGACGGAAAATTTTTTCTTTTGGAGTCATCGTCACGTCTGTGAAAATTCAGAAGAACATAAAAATTGATTGAGTTTCAAAAAATTTGTATAACGTTTTGTTGAAAACTCAGCTACATTTAACAAAAAAGTTTTTGATTATTGGACAAGTTTGAGCGAAGTTATGAACTAAAGTATAGAGTGACACTCACTAATGTTCGCCACTGTATATTCCTCACATAAAATCGCAGTGAGAATTTAGTTTTTTAAAGCTTTCAGAACCAGGGATTTTCGGAATGACCTTTCCAGAATTTTTCGGAATGTCGAAAATTCCGATTTTGAAAATTTCGGAATGTCGAAAATTCCGATTTTGAAAAATTCGGAATTTCGAAATATTCCGATTTTAAAATTTTCGGAATTTCGGAATTTTCTGAATGTTTTAAAATTCAAATTAGAAATTAGAAATTCCATTTTCCCATCACAAAAACGCAAAAAACTTGTGGAAATTGAACGAAAGATTTCGGTAGCGCAAAATACTATCAAAAGTAGTTCAGTTCGAGACCCACAGGTAAATTTCCTCCGACAGACCGTAGTCAGAAAATTAAGTCCAAAAAAAATTGCGGTCGGAATTTAATCCCGAAAAAATCTTTCGGAATTATTCCGACAGGAATTTCATTCCGAATTTTTTCCCCGAAATTATTCCGGTCGGAATATCATTCCGAAAATGGTCGGAGTTTTCGGAATTTTCGGAATTCCAAATTCCGTTCCGAACATCCCTGTTTCAGAACTAATTTTCAAAAAGTCATTCGAAGATACCAGAAGATGAGACGGTCATATAACATCCAAAAAGCGGAAAAAATTGAAGTCCAAAATTCCGCCAGTACGTTTGCATTTTTTCCCATCAAACTCAAATCATAACTTCAGACCATGGACATATTCCTCGGAAGAACAAATCTAATAATTTTCAACGCACCAAATCCAAACGACCCAACAGGCATAAAACACTTTATAGACGTCCGATACTTGGTCCAACAAGCAGAAAACATTCTTAAATCTGGAAGTCCAACACCAATTTTTAGAATGAGCTCTCTGGAAAAATTAGCATTAGGGCTTCGTGAAAGCTTACAAAACTCAAAAACTACAACTATTTCAAAAGTTGGGAAAGATGAGACGCTGGCGTTTTGGCAGAGTGATATGATAAAAGTGGCAGAGTGGTTCACCTAATTTGATGAGTTCCAGTTGTTGCCGTTTCAGCTGAGAGTGAGTTTGAAAGTAAATTTTTCAGATTCAAATGATAAAAGGAATTTGGAGAGTCTGGAGTAGGCTGAATAGACTAGCAACATCAATGAGAGCTAGAAGGCGTGAGATTTGCAGGGATAATATGATAATGATAGATTTAAAAGAGGAATCCGTAGTTTTTCATTTGAGCAAAACTCAAATTGATGTATCATGGCAGTCAAATTACAATGTAGAGCAGCTGAAATTGTAAGTTTATTTGAAATTTAAAAGAGGGGAGACATTAAGGTTTTCGAGTTTTTTTTTTCATTGCAAGAGTATGCATTCTGACGTGACGGTGTACATACAGTGATCATTGTTCACATGGGTGGGAGGTCCACAAGTTCGCCTCCACGAAGGGTTTACAAGAACACAATTTTGAAAAATTAACATCTGATTAACCTTAACATATTTTTAGATTCGGGTACCGATACCTAGATGAAAAAACCGAACTACTCATCCAAGAAATAATCAACCTGGAGCCTTCAGACGTAGAGCTATCCTATATGCTCTGTCAGTTATGCTTCTATTATGTCGGAAAACGATTTCAAGGAGTTTTTCAAGAAATCGCTGATAGACTACTTGAAGTTTTGTCTAACAATTTACACGACTATTACATGAAACAAATGGGGTGTTCTAAGTATTCAGGAAGGATTTGTGGTATGATGAGGATTAATAATCAGATACAGGTACAGTTGTAAAAAGTAAATCTTCAAATGTTTGTGATTCAGAAAGGAATTTACGAGCGAAGAGCAAAAGCAGAGTTGATGAAAATATTAGACGTATTTTTTATCGAATTTTCGGATCCGGAAATGTTGGTCGATGCATGAGGAATAAGACTTTGTTGTACATAAAATATAGAATTAATAAATTCTGTTTTTTTTCTGAGAATTCACAGATTTGAAACAGATCGATTTTTCTTTGAAAATCATACTGACTGCCCAGAAAAGTTTTCAATAATAACTTAGTGCCTCTAACTGTAACTTTCAGCTAACTTCTCTCATTTTCTGTAAAAGATATTCAAAAACGGTCAACTGGCAGAATACTAATCATCTACTTGCAAAATTTCGGGACGGCCCGTCGAGAGGTTTGGCGGGCCGGCCCGCTGTTTGTACTGCAGATGATTTTTTTTGATTTTTCTCTTTGAAAGTTTTATAATTTTTTCAAAAATTTAATAAAAAACTCTATATTTTTTGACTACTTTCTACTTCGATAACTTTTAAGAATTGTGTAACTTTTTTTCTTTTTTAATTAAAAAAAATGTCCCAATTTTTCATTGAAAATTATTTTTACTGAGAAGGGGCGGGCCGACGGGCCGGGCCGGGTCGGGCTGGGAAAATTGAAGTTTCGGTCCGGCCCAGCCCGACCCGTTGCAAGTATGCTAATCATGATATCAAGAATATTTTGCAAGTTAACTGTATAACTCATTAAAATTGTTCCATGAAACTTAAATGAATATACATATTCGAATGCATAAGTTCGAATCGATCTCTGAAAAACCTTATCACTTTCTCTGCTAAAGTTTAATGACGTTAGTTACTAATCTTTGACCAGTACTTGATACTATAATTTTATTACCTTTCATTTCATTCAACTCAAAGTAAACGAGATGATTCAATTCGGATCTCCGATATTTTCAGAAAACGTCACTCAAAAAAGTTTCCATGATTTCCAATGTGTTTGTGCCTCTCCTCGTAAATGATTCATACAATTATGACCCTCTGGCATTCATAAAAGAAACTCTTTTTCCCTCTGTACACCTGTCATGTGTCTCTCTTTCTCAAAATTGTTTCATTGTATGTTTTGTCTGTCTGCCAGTCTCCTCTATTTACATTTTGCCTTTTTTCGTATTTTGTCCGAGATTTTTTTTTCTGCATTTTTTTGTTGAATAGAGCGGAAACCAAAAGCTCAAGCTTTGTTTCCTTGCTCATGTTTTTTCTTTACCATGAATTTTTTTCAAAATGTTTTTTCAGAAAAAAAATGAATTCACCTGGCTCTTCTGTATCGTCATCATCTGAGTCTTCTTCATCACCAGAATGCCTCACAATTTCCTTTAGAAACTGTCAGGTTTGTGGACAGCCCGGTCACGGGAAGCATTTTGGAGCAATCACTTGCAGAGCATGTGCCGCATTTTTTCGGTAATCACTCTTTTTCAGAAATATATAGTAATCAAGAAGTTACAGACGCTGCGGCACCTCAAATAATTTCAAGCCGTGCCGAAGAGGGAATAATTGTGAATTCTTGAAAAATGGATGGTTCAATTGCAAAGCGTGCAGGCTGCAAAAGTGTTGGGATGTTGGGATGACAAGTGATAGTGAGTTTTTAACTTTGAGCTGATTTATCTCAGTTCCTGTGGAAGATATCAAAAAGTAGTTAACTGCAAAAATATTACTGATACTATGATAAACATTGAACCTGTTCATCACATTTTTCACAGAAAATGAGATATTTGGACTCAAAGTTGATGATTTATATTTTATCTTCGTTAGCTGAAAATAGGTAACTTTGAAGTCCAAAAGAAGTGGTTTTTTTATTTGTCTAAAAATTTTAGAGTTCATCCAACAAAATTAGAACTTCAGTTTTGTAGTGGACAACTTTTTCCGGGTCTAAAAAATGTTTTGAAAGTATTTACTAAATAAATGTAAGAAAAAAAAATATCTTCAACGAATGGCCATCCAAATTTCAAATTTGAGCAATTTTTTGGTTCTTGTCAAAGATATCAAAAAGTAATTACCTGATAAAATGTTTTTGATACCCTAATAAGCATTTTGTCAGTTGAACACTTCTCGATATCGTTCACAGGAAATGAGCTAAATGGGCTTAGAGTTGACGGTTTTTTTACTAAGCGCTGTCTGCATTCCATCGGAAAAATTGTGGAAAAAATTATTCAAAAAAAAACGCAGTGATATTTTTCAGACTTTCAATATGATCGAGACTCCTTCATCCCGAAAAAAGTCAGAACTGCACTTGAAGATTTCCACAGCCGAGTACCGGAGGTATTGCTTACCATTCTTTCGACATTTATTTTTTATTCCAGTCCATGGGAACTTTCGTCGGTCGATCGAATCTTATAATCTTCTGTGCTCCACAATTTGACCCAGAAAATAACAACCAAAAAACTTATATCGACGTACAGTATCTGATCGATGAAGCTGGCGAGATGTTAAGAAGAGGCTGTGATATTCCGATTTGTGCTCCAACCAGTCTCGAGAAACTGGCTCTCGGGCTGCAAACCCTTCGTGGGTTCCACCCAAAGCAAATGAAGGTTATCACCAAACTGGGCAAGGATGAGACATGGCTCTATGGCAACACGATATGCTAAAAGTTGCAAGATGGCTAACGTATTTTGACGAGTTTCGACAACTTCCGCATCAGGTGCAGGTGGGTTGGAAAATAACTAATTTCGGATTAGAAAATACTTAAATCATAATTTGCGACTTGCAGGTGGATATGCTCAATGGCATGTGGAAGGTGTGGGCTCGGTTGGAAAATTTGGCAATCACGGCAATGGGCAGACGCCAGAAATTGTGCAAGGCTAAAGAAATCATGACGATAGTGGAGGAGGAACAATTGAAATGTCACATGACACAAGTTGAGATAGATATAAGTTGGTGCTCCAGGTTTTCTGTGGAGCAGTTAAAATTGTAAGTGGCAACGTACGGTAAATAGCAATTGTAATAAGCTTTTTTTTCAGCTTCTCCGATAACGACCTTGACGAGCGTACCGAGGATGTTATCCAAGCTATGATGGACCTCCAACCATCAGACGTTGAACTCTCCTATATGATGTGTCAGTTGTGTCTTCATTACGTCGGGAAGCGATACCAAGGCGCGATGTTAGAAATCGCGGAAAGTTTTCAAGAATCCCTTTCCAACAATCTTCACGACTACTACATCAAGCGTGTGAATATGCCACAGTACTCCCTAAGGTTGGCAAATATGATGAAGATCAATAATCATATTCAGGTAACATTTCTTGAACCTCAACGTTTGGATTTTAAAATCAAGGGTATCGTATTTCAGCAAGACATCTATCGGGGACGCGTGAAATCCGAATTGGCCAAGGTTTTTGATGTTTTCTATATCGAGTTTTCGCATCCCGAGGCATTCGCAGAACCGTTGTGAATTATGTTCGTTTTATTTTATGGTGGGAAGCCAAATAAATATTTTGTTTTAATGGAGATTAGACGGGAATTCATTCGGAGTTTTTTTTGAAGGCAGAGTATGCGTTCTGAAATGAAGGTGTAAATGGATTAGTCGTCACAAAGCGCGTGGCTGTGGTGCCGCTCAATGTTTAGAATTCCGTCTTCCGTTTTCCGTCTTCCGTCTTTATAAATTCCAAATAACAGAATACTAACAGGATTCGTGGAATTTTCAGACAACTTTTGCGAAATTCTTTCCACATTGTCCAATTCAAAAATTCCAATTTTAATTATACGATTTTCCGTCTTCCGTGGATTTTCCTGTTCCGTCTTCCGTCTTCCGTCAAGCGAAATTGTATTTCCGCTCAACACTGGTGCCGGTTTCAAAGACGACAACGGTCGGTGCCACCGTAGCTTAGCTGGTAGCGACGCGGCACCTTCATCGATAGGTCCACAAGTTCAACTCCTCAAGAGGCTATAATTGAAGAAAATTCCAGAAATATGAGTTTTCGTTATTGCTGTTATGTGTGCCATCGTTTAGCCGTATCAACTTGCGCCCCATTACTATTAGCTCAACTGTTAGCGGCGCGGCACCTCCAATGGTGAACAAATAATTTTTTTTCTCGATTTTTTTTCATAAGGAAGCCCCTTGAGGAGTTGACCTTTCCAAATAAAATAGTTTACATGGAATGACTCCCAAGTGTTACCCTTGAAAAAATTGAGACCTATATGGTTGAAAAGAGCGTAAAAAGAAATTTTAGAATCCAAAAGAAATAGTTGATATAAAATTTTTTTGGGGAGTTATGGCCCAAAACGTACCAAAAAATGGCTATATTTTCAAAAAATCATAACTTTGTCTGTTTTTGTTTGTTTGTTTAGATTTAAAAACAATAAATAGACAATTTATTGATATTTTGGAAAACAATTTTTTGATTTTTTTCTCATTGATTGGATTATTGATTTTTTGAAAAAACCGAAAAATTTTTCAATATCTCAAAAATCCCAAGTTAACTTTTTTTCTTATTATGACCATTGAACTCAGCACGTTTGATTTACTATAGAAACATATCAATACCCCGGGGGAAATCATGCTCACACAAGTTATGCCAATAAATGTCGATTTTTGGCACTTGGCTGCTTTGAATTCGTTGTCCTCGGCGGCCGGCATGGTGAGGGGCACATTTGTTTTTGTGATTTTAACATGCATATAGTTAGTTTAAAGTGTTTAAAACACAATTTAGTAACATAGAAAGTCAATTATTCGAATTCCGTAATATGTCTTAAAATTGCAACTTTGAAAAAATCAAAATTTTGACATGTAATAGGGCATATCTATGGTCAAACTTGATGAAAACAGCCAAACTCTTTTTGTAACATAATCAGAAGAACGTAATCCTTGCAATTAATTATTTTCCGGTTTCAAGTTCATTTTTGTCTTACATTTGTTTTTTATATTTATTACGTTTTGTTTTTAAGTTAATTGTAACTCCGATTTTTTCGGACCACAGATTTCTTTATGGGCCTCCAATTATTATGGGCCTCTATTCATTTACAAGCCTCGGATTCCAGCAGAGAGCCCTCTTTTAAGTTAACAGTTATGCTCCATTATCTCCATTGAAAACATTAGTAAATTAATAACTGTGCTCCGATTTTTGTCCTTCAATTACATGTATAACATTTAATACCATGAAATGAAAATATAGGACAATGAATCAAAGGTTTGGCCGTTTCCATCCAGTTCAACTATAGATTATAGATGTACCCTTGTCGAAATTCACTAAAAATAGGGATTTGGCTGTAATAATCGTAAATATTTTCATTTTTAGGGCCTAACACAAAATTCTGTTCAAGCCGTTGATAGAATTAGGCTCTTCTGATTATGATACAAAAAGAGTTTGGCCGCTGTAGTGCCGCTAGGTCACCGTATCCCTATTCCAAAAGTACCTTGACCAAAAAAAAATTCTACAGCCGGCTTGGCAAAACACGGAAGGCCACCAAACGATTATACTATATCTATGCGGCCTTTATTTTCATAAACAAGTTTATTCAGGAATCAGTGTAGCGTTACAATAGATAAAACCAAATTACATAATTATTGCGATTCACTTCAAACGGTTCTAAAAATGTCATGAGAATATTCTGCATAATACACATCAAACACACTCAACAGCTCATTTTTCGATCGTTCAATAACAACATCTTGCTGAAAAGTTTATCATGAGAGAAAAGCCAAAAGATTCAATTACCTGAATATGGTTATTGATCTTCATCATTTGGGCAACCCGCTTACTGTACTGCGGCATGTTCAGCCTCCTAACATAATAATCGTGTAAATAATTGGATATTGAGTCTAGAATTCGATCGGAAACTTCTAGAATAACTCCTTGAAATCGTTTGCCAACGTAATAGAAACTAAGCTGGCACATCATGAATGCTAGCTCAACGTCGGTGGGATTCAGGTCTATCATCATCTGCACAACTTGTTCACCACGGCATTCAGAGCTGGGATCGTTGAAACTGAAAACGGGATTTCAACAGATAACACTCACAGGAACTTACAAACTCAACTGCTCAACTGTGTATCTTGAGCACCATGATATATCAAGTTCTAGCTTCTTCATATCGCATAATACTTGCTCTTTATTTATATGACCCATCACTTGCCATCTCTCACATAGATTTTGTCTTCGACCCCTAGCTGTGAGATGTAGCTTGTCTAGTCGTGTCCACACTTTGAATATTCCTTCGAGCATGTCTAGCTAAAATAGTTTTATTGAACTTGTGGGACGAATATTGAAGAGCTACTCGGTTGTTGGTTTGTAACTTCTGTTCAGAAATAGAGGGGGGTTCGACTTTTGGACGAATACTTTTCAGTTTCTGATTGTGACTCGCCTAACAACTGCTGTGTAGTCAAAAACAACGATTATATAGTGAAGGTTCGAATTTCGAAAACCATGATTTGAATTTGAGTATAAACATAAACATATGGCTTTGAGTGTGAATTCATAAACAATTCCAGAAACGTTTCATTTGATTTCATGAGTCGAAACTAATGATAACCGGACTTTTTTAAGGACATCATCACTGGAAATTTGGAAAAAGAGAATCTTGTAGATTCTCATTTGCCTTTCTTTTGCATAGTCCACCCATGGACCGATTTTGGTCGGAAGTTGAAAATTGAGACGCCACTATGTCAGAACCTTTTCCTAACTTTGTTGAAGTGGTCGGGTTTGGTAGCGCTCTTATTCTGAATCTGGCACATTCCTGGCCAGAAATTGCTTTATACGCCCGAGTAGCGCTCCTACCAGCTGTGCCAAAAAGACACGATACCCAAGAGAGAAATTAAAAGGTGTGAAAACGGTCACGCAAAGGTAAAAACCCCCTAATCTTACCTGCAATTTTTGTGGCAACCTTTGGAAATCATCAAAATAGGTTAACCACTTTGCAGTCCTCAGCAACTCATCTTCAAAAAGTGTCAGTGCTTCTTCTTTTCCAATCTTATGAAACGCCTTCAACCCTTTTCCCACTACACTCCGAATGTGTTGAAGCCCGAGAGCAAGTTTTTCAAGTGGATTAAGTGCAAAAACTGGAGACCAAGAGCCCTGAAAAAAATAGTGGTTCTCTTACTAAGTTTTCTCCTCGACTTACCTCGTGCAGCAAGTCTTCCGCTTTATCTAGGAGAAACTGGACATCGATTATAACCCTTGGTGGGGTGTAATCAGGGTCGTGAGCAGGTGCACAATAAATTATGAAATTCGGCCGACCCAAAAATGTTGCCATGGACGCAGGAATATTATCTAGAAACCCTCTTTGAACTCTTTCCGGATCTCGACCAAATTGGAAACCTTCAAACTTGGATTCAAAAAGTTTTTGGAATACAAAACCTACCATCAATTTTCATTCCTACGTTTTTACATTTCTCAAGCCGACACTTTTTACAATTGAACCATCCTTTTTTGCGTACCACACAGTTTCCACCTGTTTTACAAGGTTTCACATGTCCCGAAGTTCCGTAACGTCTGGAAAGTGGTTTTTTGATCACATAAAAATGATATCACGGTTCAAATATTTCTTATCATACATTTAGTGATTAGAAGGTCTTAACGAACTCTGACCATTTCAATTTTGAGTTATAACTTTTTTGGTTTTTATGGAAGACTCGACACAGGGTTCCGAAAAACCTGGTCAAAAAATCGCGCTCCAGCAAACCTCGAGACCTAGCTAAATCCTTCGTTGGCTGAGTATCAAACGTACAACGATGAGCAAAAAAATCGAGCGTTGATTGAAAATACCCGGGTCAAATCCACAAACACTTTGATATTATTAATATTCTCATGGCCTAAAAGTTTGCGCGATTTTTAATCATGTCGTTTAGAACACTATGTCAAAGGGAGAAGGCGGACAAGAAAGTTGGGTTACCATAGCTACAAATTTGGCGTAGCTCAAATACTTCGCCCACACGTCCAAATTAACGTGAAAATAGAGAAAAAATCCAGACTACAAGACTCAAAGAGAATCAACGAGACATTTGAAGATAATCTTACCGAAAAAATGCAGCACACGCTCTACAGCTGATGGCTCCATAGTGTTTTCCATGAGCCGGCAAACCGCAGACTTCGCAATCCTTCATTGAATTTATGACAGGTAAGGAACATTCGGAAGAAGACGAACTTGTGGGTTCATTCATAATTTCCAACATTTTCACAAAGTGGAAAAAGCAGAGCGACAAGAAAAGAAACGGATTAGATATTCTCTTTCGAAATGAAAACTGCATGTGTAGTACATAGAGAAACGGGAAACTAGGGAGACGCAGACATGGAGAAAATTTAGAAAGCGAGGAAATAGTGCGGTGTTGACGTTTGGAAGGACAAATACAGACATATTGGTCTCGTTAAACCAGGTGAATCATAAAGGGAATTCGTGAAACTTTTTTTTTTCAGGCAAGTAATAAAAAAACTGTAAAGATTTGAACGATCAAATGTTAACTGATAACCTTTTTTTATGTAAATATTGAAAAATATATATATAAATAAAAGCAAAAAGAAGATGTCGCCGCAATCCTTGATGACATCACGGATTGTTTCCTGAAAAACATACGCTATTTTCTCGAATCGGCCCAGTATCCAAGTGTAGGTCAAAAAGGGTACATTGATTCCAGAGATACATGTCATTTTGTGACCCATGTGTGAAGAGAAAGAAATGAACATAATTTTCTTTTACAGACTTCTTAAATTTTTTATAAGAATTGTAGGGCTATGTTAGGCCAAAGCATCCTTCACCATAAAATCCCATGAACCAACTGGCATTGAACCAATATAAAGTGGCGAGAAGTGGTGAGGAGAATTTTTTCGAACATTCATAAATGTGTTCAAAATCGCTCAATTGACTTGAAAATTTGCGAAAGAATAGCTGTAAAATCCAAAAACATAAAAATCGGCTTTTTGAAAATTTCTCATTTGCAGAATTTTCAGAGCAGTTTCAGATGTAACAGTGGTCAGAGAATCCAAAAAAACCTTTTTTTCAGAATCTTTTATGGCTTCGATTTTAAATGTCAAATGATTCTCAGTGTCCAAATATGCACCAAAAAGTTTTGAAGAATTTTGGAAGTCGGGCTCTCGAGTTATGATGCTCAGAGCACAAAAGGTATGCGTGTGCATTCAGAAAACAATCTGAGATATCTTTGAAGAATTTCAATTTAGATTTAGATTTATTTATTTTCAGAGCGGTGACCAACAGTACATAAGAAAAAGGCAGCCCCCCTCACGAGGAGCGCCTAATAAGTTAAGAAGAGAAAAATAATGGAAAAGGGAGGAATTATATACAGTAAAATACATGTGTTAAAAATAAGGATAATAGCTAGTAGCAAGAAATAGAAGAATCAAAGAGATTTTCGAATTGGGACGGGGTGAGGAAGAAGGGTACATTGTTGACAGCGGATCCTCAGTCAGTCGAGACCGATCCTACGTCCTAACCCGAGAGTGTCTGCAACCTGAAATGACCCCCAATTCCCCCCAAATGTGTAAAACAAGCGGTGCAAAGGAATAACAGTACACAAAGTATTCAAATCCAAGTTTATTAACGGAAAGGGATTTGAATAAACGGCAAAGACAACGGAATTGGGAAAAGAAAGCAAGAACAGAAAAGAAGTAAAGGTGTAGGGCTAAAACCTCCTGGGAGCTACCGGAGGAAACCTTGCTGCCTTCTAAAACTGGTGCTAACAAACCAAAACGATGCCAAACGTAGAAAACTAGCTGAAAGGCTAAAAAGGGTTAAACGGGACCGCATAGCGGTCAGCTCTTGGTGAGATTCGAACACTCGCTTTGCCGCAGCGAAGACTGAGTAACGACGGGCGGCGGACGCCAGTGCCGAGTGGCGCGGCGCGGCCGCTGCGACGCGGTCGTTGGCGCGTATTCAAATAATATTAATATTACCGTAAAACCTCTAATAGAACGAGCCTATAAATAATAAACAGCACAATATGACAGCAGGGTCTTCAATGTGATTGTTCGACTTTTTTCTCTAATATTTTCATGAGAAATTTTTTTTTTAAACTTACAATATTTCTTCCCAATGCTATTCCTACTGTAGTTATTGCTGAAATTTTCAGCTGTAAAGGCAACGGTTGTGCACTAATCATAATAAATAATGGATCATAATCCATTAAATGTGGATGCCAATTTACAGTCAAATAAATGACATAAGGGAGCTCTCCGATAGCCAGCAAAAAATCTCCGAGTGACAAGAATCCGATCAGACGCATATTTTTGTTTTGACGCAGATCTTTTCTTCTAAAAGCTACAGATGGAAATCACAATTT